CCTCATAATGCGCCTGGAAAAGCAGCAGATGATGATCCCAAGTCCTCGGGCCCCAGCACCCACGTGGGAGACCCAGATGAAGCTCTTGGCTCCTGGCTTCGGACAAGCTCACCTGCAGCAATTGTTGCTATTTGGGGAGTGAACCAGCAGATGGAATATCTCTCTTTTTGTAACTCTGCCTTTCAAATAAAACAAATTATATATATATATATATATAGCGCCAGAGTTTCAGAGAAGGGGAGAGAGAGATCTTCCACCTCCTGGTTCACTCCCCAGATGGCCACAACAGCCAGCACTGGGCCAGGCAGAAGCCAGGAGATTCGTCTAGGTCTCCTATGTGGATGGCAGGGGCCCAGGCACTTGGGCCATCCTCTGCTGCCTTTTCCCAGTCCATCTGCAGGGAGCTGGATCAGAAGTGGAGCACGATTAAAAAAAAAAAGAAGTGGAGCAGCTGGGACTCGAACCAGCACCCATATGAGATGCTGGCACTGCAGCTGGCATTACTCTCTATGCCACAGTGCCAGCCCCCTCTTTAGTACTTTTTTTTTTTACAGGCAGAGTGGACAGTGAGAGAGAGAGACAGAGAGAAAGGTCTTCCTTTGCCGTTGGTTCACCCTCCAATGGCCGCTGGGGCCAGTGCGCTGCGGCCGGCGCACGACGCTGATCCGAAGGCAGGAGCCAGGTGCTTTTCCTGGTTTCCCATGGGGTGCAGGGCCCAAGGACTTGGGCCATCCTCCACTGCACTCCCGGGCCACAGCGGAGAGCTGGCCTGGAAGAGTGGCAACCAGGACAGAATCCGGCGCCCCAACCGGGACTAGAACCCAGTGTGCCGGAGCCACTAGGCGGAGGATTAGCCTAGTGAGCCGCGGCGCCGGCCCCCTCTTTAGTACTCTTAAAGAACATTTTGACAATCAATAGAAACATGAGGGTACTTCCAAAAGGACATGGAAATGGAATTTAGAGATGTCTAGTTTGGTACAAAAAGTTCTTGAAGTTCATGTAGAAAAGGGTCTTCCAAAAGCCCATATTATGCAACAACACGCAAGCATGGTTCAGGTGTTCACAGGGCTATTTCACCTTAATGCACACTGCCCTGTGCTGGAGAGGTTGGCCTGTGTGGACTGAACCATCAGTCTCTTGCCTTCTAGCTGCTGTGGGTCCAGCCAAAGGACACTGGAGCCAAGGAATTTTTCTCCCTAGCATCTTCTTTTCAAGGTTGCTGCCTCCAGCCACCTCATGGCCACTGTGGCTCTCTGTGTACAGTCATCCCCTCCGGGCTCCAGTACCCAATCTTCTTTTTGCCCCTTCAGGCCAGGGTGGCACCTGCTCCCCAGTGTTCCTAACCCCAGGTTCCTATTCCATCCCAGGTCAGCTTGTCCTGACTCTGCCCACACCTTGGTCAATCATCCCTTTAAAAAAAAGGAAAAAAAAAAACAACAAAACTTCCCAATGACTCCATTAGTATATACTCCCTTTTCCCGCTAGGACTGTGACAAAGGCACTGCTTTACATGCGTGAGGGGACTGTGAAACATGTCTCACATTGCAAAATAAGGGAAAGATTTTAACATCTAGCTAATAGGCCATTGTATCAGGATCCTCCCTGATATGCAAAACAGAGCAGACTTTGCCAGAACTCTACTCAGATCCCAGCGATGGCTCAGCCTGATGTCACCGGTCCATTATTTCCTGTCCTGACCCACCATGCGTTATGATCTCACAGCCTCCCAAAGGGCTTTGACAGGGCCAGGCGCACAGAGCCCCACCATAGCCTTGGCCGTGGACAATGACTTCAGCTCCTTTCAGGATATTCAGAATTCTGAGCGCGATCCCTGGTTGAGAAACTGACTTTGAAAAGGCAGTTTTGATGCCAAATGCCAGTCGAAAGGAAGGCAAGTGCAGCAGGTTCTCGTTCATAATCAGGACACCCTCTCCCGTGCTTCCCTGCCAGGATTTTTGGAGACCAATGAAAAAGCAAGTTCAATTGCTAGGGCCCCTGTCCCTGGCTGGGTACGAAGCCCAAGACATCACTGGAAATGAGGCAGCGACTCAGCCCAAGCCACAGCCCAGCTCAGTTAGCAGCGAGAAACAGCGCCACTCTACAACGAGCCAGAGACTAGGGCGGGGCGGGGCGGGGCTGGGGGCGGGGGGGACAGAAGAGCTTCGTTGTTTGTTTCCCGTGGCTGTGCCCTGTGGACCTGTGGGAATTAGGGGACAGGGTGGGGCTCTCTGGACTGAAAATGATAGGAAAGGCACTGCCCTAATTACTAGATTTTACTGGGATGATACTTGAGGTGTGGCAATCCATCTGTCAAAGTTCATTAACCAGACCTCATAAATGGCAGGCTAGGGCCCTACAGGGGGCTGTTACAGACTGTCCCGGGGCCTTGAAGTGGATGCCAAGGTCTACAAGAGCCATCCTCAACCTAGAGATGTGCTCGGCATTTTTCTCGATGACAGGGGTTTTGGAGAGGCGATGCTGTTGAATGCACGGCCCTCTTCGGTGCTCATGTCCAGTGAGCCCTGAGCACAGGGTCCCACGCATGTGAGCGTGACCCCAGATGACTGCCCTGGCTGGCTGTAAGGCATGACGGCTGCTTCAGCTGGGGAAGGGTGGGCAAGCGTGGCTGCTAGGAGTAGGGAAGTCCCGGAGAGCTTCCTTGAGGAGGTGGCCTCTCAGCCATGATCCCAGGTGGCGGCAGTATAACTGAACCAAAAGCCAGCCAAGGAGCACAGTCCTGCTTCCAGTACTGCTCACCGGGTCAGTGCTCCTCAAACTTGAGTAAGTATCCAAATAACTTAGGGATTTTTTAAAATGCTGGCTCTGATTTAGTTGGTCTTAGGGACCAGAGAGTCTAAAAAGCTTCCTGGGGTTTGCTTGTGGTGTAGCCCCTTGGGCAGCTGCATCCCACAGTAGAGAGCTGCTTCGAACCCGTTACTCTGCTTCTGATCCGGCTTCTGCGGATGCATCCTGGGAGGGAGCAGATGATGGCGCATGTGCTTGGTCCCCTGCTCCCCTGGGGAGACCTGGCTGCAGTTCTGAACCCCTGGCTTTGTCCTAGCCTAGTCCCAGGTGTTGTGGGCATTTGGGGGGTAAATGAGCTGATGGAAGATCTCTGGCTTTCTGCCGTCTGTCTGTCTGTGCCTTTCAAGTTGATGAAAACAAACAAGCCCACACTTAAAACAACAAAAACTTCCAGGTAATGCTGTGAGTCCAAGGGTTACTCTCTGAATGCTCAGCTTCCTCTGTGCCTCAGTTTTCCTGCCTGGAAAATGGGCCTGCAAGGATGGGAGAAACATGAACATGGATTTACCTGTGGCATAGTTTGGCCAAGTCACATTTCTGATCAAATAATTCCTGCATTATTAATGTGCTGAGGAGGGGAGGAGCCTACAGAGACTCATCAAATTGCTTCTGTTCATATTTTGTCCATTTTTTTCTTGACCTAAAGATTTTTAAAAACTTTTTTCTACTGAGATTTTGTACTATTATTCTCCAGATAACAGCTCCTGAAACTGAATATATTATGCAAAAGAACTGAATCACTTATAATACTAAAGTTCTTCAGCTAAATCAAAAAGCTACTGATTTCTTGTAAATTTGATTTACTAATGCATGTTCTAATCCCCGGGTGAAGGCAGGGACTTATATCCTGATTTTAAAACTGAGGGACACCGTTTATCATAGAGTTTTCTTGCGCTCATCAGCTTTCAGGTTAACCAAACAGCATAAAGTTCCTCTCAAAATTGCAAAATGTCTGCTTGCAATCCGATGTTACCTGCGGGGGCTTTGTGAGGAAGCGCGGACGCCCAGGGGACCCTGGGAGTGGGGTTTCTGCAGCAGCTCGGCACGGGATGCCAAGGAATTCTTGCGGCCCAGGCAAGCAAACATGCAGGCTGGGCTCCCCTCACACAGGGCAGCGATAACGGAGCGTCAGCCCACCTCGGGCTAAGCAGGCTTAGTCATTTTTAAAGGGAATCATATATTCCATTGATTGACTCACCAGAACTATTCTCTTGGAGAACACCTTGTTAATGCCATTCTTTTCTTACTCTTAGAACGTTGGGATCCTTCCTGAAAACTTCCAGTTCCTACGTTCTGGATGACTGCTCCTTCCATCTGACGATTACTCTGAATCATTTCTTAATGATTTTGTTGTATGAGAGCAAGGACAGGCTCTGTGTGCGTCATTGAGAAAACACTGTCCTTCTCTTTTAGTTGAGCATCTACTATGTGCCGAGAGCCTCAGCTGATCAGCCTTGACCACACAGTGCTGCGTACACTTCAGGTATGTGCTGCGCCTACTTCAGGTATGTGCTGCGCCTGGTGGTGTGGCACAGCGAGTCCAAGTCGCCACTTGTGACGCTGGCACCTTCTATCAGAGTGCCGGTTTGAGTCCAGCCGCTCCACTTCTGATCTAGCTTCTCACAAATGTGCCTTTCTTCTCCCGATGAAAAGTTCTCCCATCTTTCACCCATTCTGAGGGGTTCTTGGTTTTCTTAAAATTGGGTTACAAGAGTTCTTTTAAGATATGTGATTTGGAAATATTTTGTGTAGCATCAAAGAAACCTGCCTAGCCAAGGTCACAAAGATTTCACCCATGCCTTCTAGCTTTTATAGCTTTCGGTTTTACACTTGGGTCTATAATCAAATGTGTGCTACCAAACACTGCCTTGCAGTCTGTGCCATTTTCTCATGTCTATCATGTCTTTTGAAGAGGAGAATTTTTAATTCTGATGAAATAAAATCAATCACCTTTTGTGGTTCATGTGAATTTTCTTACTTTTATATTTAAATATATCATCCCTCCCTCCCTGCACACAGACAGACCTGAGCGGCACACAGAGGCTGGGAAAGGCAGTGTCTGGGAAGCCCAGCTTCGTGAGGGCCCTGCATGTGGGGACTTCAGGACACGCATCAGAAACACGAGAGTAGCAGATGAACAAACTTCATGCATACAATCAGAAAATGGTTAAATGGCAGGCTTGTGGGGAAGGGAATCACTTTTTAAAACATTTTTATTTATTTATTTTGTTTACTTGCAAGGCAGAGTGGGGAGAGAGAGGGAGGGAATCTCTCCTCCCCACTGGTTCATTCTCCAAATGTCCACTCCTGCCTGGAATGGGCCAGGCTGAAGCCAGAGGCTGGGAACTCCATCCAGGTCTCCCGTGTGGGTGCAGGGGCCCAACTCCAGGGTGCACACCAGCCGGAAGCTGGAGTCGAGAGCAAAGCGAGGCGCTCCACTGTGGGATAGGGGTGTCCTAAGCAGCTCATTAGCTGCTGGGCCAAACGCCTGTTCCAAGAGAACCCTGAAACGCCCACACTTCACACCTCCAGGTGGGACGAATGTGCACAGTTCCTCTTGAGTTTCGAGTTTTACGCACCCTGGGGATTGCTCTGCGGAAAAAGAAGTGAACATGAATAAACTCATTATCACTTGGCTTCCAAGGGCATATTTCACCACTTCCAGTCCAAAAATGTGACCATGGAGTTGACTGAAGCACCCTTCAGTGTCACTGATTGCCCAAGGAAAAGCAGTGTTTGAGCAAGGATCTTCTTTCACAGTTTAAGACAGAGCAGAGCCACCTGAGAAGTGTTTTACGACTTGCAAGGAGCCTAAGATCTTGGTCTGATCTCCATTTTACATAGTGTTTCATATGAGTTAAGGGCCTAGACATACATCTATAAATCTGTATGTCGAGAGATATATATGTAAAAATACTTGGAATCAATAATGAACTGGCCAGAAAGGAAACAAAACAAAACAGCCTTTATCCTTATGATACCACTCAAGAAGGGAAACCTAAGCCCAAACACAAATGTTCACAGCCCTCATGTTTCAGGAATCGCAATGTCCCCTTCTCTACCCAACTCTGGCTTGGATGTGGGATTGGCAAAAACATGAGGGCTTTGCAAGGAAATGAACTTCCAAATTCTCTTCCATTCCCCATGTGTGAACACAAGCCACCTCGGGACCCTTGGGGAAACAAAGAAATCGACACCCTGCAGCAAAAGGAAGCAAGTGGTGCTGCGAGCCCGGGCTCACAGCTCTGAACAAGCACCTTGTAGTTTTATTGCACTGTCTTCTTTCCCAGCACCAGGAACACAGAGTGGGGGGCAGAGGAAGAGAGAGACCCGTTAGCGCTTCACGAAAGCCATCACGTGCCATGGTTGGCTTCCTGCTTCTCCAGCAGGTTTCTGGAAATGCTGCGCTGTGTGGGTGTTCACATTGCTTCCGCGTGTCCAGCACAATGACATTTTTGGACAAAAGATAAGCCAAAGAGTTAGAGTGAGGAGAGGGCCAGGGCCTTACGGCCCCTTCAATGACAGGATTTTAAGCATTTCTGTAGGGTGAGGGTATGGACTTCCATTGCTCTCCCACTGCCACTGGGCACATTAATTATCCTCTTGAAAACACTTTGTGCTTGCTCCTGGCTGAATCTTCAGTCCACCAAGGGCGGAAAGCTCCATTGTACAGCACAGGAAAGTTTTGGATACAACAGAAAAGCATTAAAATTTGCTGACTGATATTCCTAGACGTAGACACCAAAGGCTCAAATAGCTCTTAGAAGATTACGTAAATGACTGAAATATTCTCAGACAACTCCTAAAAAGATAATATGAAAGGGCCAGTGTGGTGGCATAGAGGTAAAGCCACTGCCTGTAGTGCCGGCACCCCATATGGGCGCCAGTTCCTGTCTGGGCTGCTCCACTCCTGATCCAGCTCTCTGGTATGGCCTGGGAAAGCAGTAGAAGATGGGCCAAGTCCTTGGGACCCTCCACCCGCATGGGAGAGCCAGAAGAAGCTCCTGGCTCCTGGCTTTGGATTGGCACAGCCCTGGCCATTGTGGCCAACTGGGGAGTGAACCAGCAGATGGAAGACCTCTCTCTCTCTTTGCCTCTCCTTCTCTCTCTGTGTTAACTCTGCCTTTCAAATAAATAAATAAATCTTTTTTTTAAAAAAAAGATAATGTGAAATATTTGGATTCCTTAGGATTTTTAAAAATGTACATTTAAAAAATGTCAGTGTATCTTGTATGTTATTTTGCATTACTGAATTTTCTTCTTGTATATTATTATATTTACTTTTCCTCCATAACTCCAAACAAATATCAATTTGAGCTTTTATGTTTCCATCCATCCTTAAAACCATTGAAGAAGACTTCATTAATTCTGGTGTATTCATATTGTAGAGAGAGAAGAAGAGGCCTGGAGACTGGTGTATACACAGTATGTGTGTGTGGGGGGGGAGTGTTAGCAACTATTATTGAAGACATCACAGGTAGATTGAATTCTAGTTCACCCTTCACTATCTCCCTATAATGCAATTATACATCCACTCTGCCAAGTGGCTTTGCTGTAGTTGCTGAGGCCACAGTGAGATACTTGACGGCAGCCATGAACTTCAACACCCAAACTGGAGTAGAACCATGTAATCCACCATGGACTTGAGAAAAATGAATGCTGCAGGTTCTCAGTCACTACGATTATGGTCTTGTTTGTTACACACTATTATCTCAGCAAGAGCTGACTAGCACATACCCTTCAAAGAAAAGGACGTGGCCATAGTACCTGATCTATGCAAGCCATGGAGGAAGGATCCTTTTTGCTTCTCAAGAGTAGGCATTTAATCATATGACAAAGTCTTCATGTGCCAAACATGATTACAGGGATTCAAAATTAATACTTTGGGAGAACAAGGGCCAAATGAAACCAAAAGATTATGTTCTTCCCCTAGCAAATGAATATCCAAACCCCTCTCCTCCATCTCACTCTCCCACCTCCATATCTATCACATGGGGGTATCCAGCCCTCCCAGACCCCCAAGGGCCACCTGTTACTCCTCCTAGGTTCAGCGATTTCCAACCAAGGGTGCAATCCCTAAGTCTCCTGCATCTTTTCAAGTATCTACAGCTGGTTGCAATAGAGACTTACCTTGTACAACTGTAGGGCACCTGGGTGCCACGTGCCAAGGTCTGCTCTGCCTGCATCACAGGTCCCGGCCTCCCTGTCACCTGCTCCCAGCCCCAGCATCACTGAAATTTCTCACCGGGTTAGCTCTAAGAGCCCAAGGACATCTCTTAATGGTAAACCTGCTTTATTTAGCTCAGGTCCCTCAGGGAGCTGAGGGAAGAGACACAGCATGGAAATGGGGCCGAATGCTGCTGTTCCATGAGGCAGTCCTTGTTGCATGGCACACTCTGATCCGAGTGTCCTGTGTGTGTCACCTACCGTGTCCGCCCACAACCCCTGCAATAGTAGCACAGCTAACCTCCTTTCATCCAGGGGGAACTGTGCTCTGTGGTCCTCAAACTTCCTACTACCTGTCAGCCCAACATGCAACTGTTAACGATCACAGAAAGATTGCTAAGATAGGAAACAAAGGAAAGGAAGGGGTGGGAAAGGGAGAAAAGCTGTAAGAAAGGAGGGACTGTAAGGCAGAACCAAACAAGGTGGCCCTTAAGGCAGGTGTTGCGCACTTAAACCACACAGCAAAGAGGCCCAGGGAGTGGATCAGAGGAGAAAGAGGCAAAGGGCTGGGTGCTGGGGGCTGTAGGAATCCCTGCCACCCCTGTCCATATAAGTGCTCACACTCACACCCTCACTGGTACACTCACACACACACTCACGCTCACCCACATACACATGCACAGCCTCACTCACACACATGCCCAGGACCACTGACCTGACGGGCTACATCCTTCACACCCACCGCCCTCGCTGGCTTCACCTGCGTGTTTGTTCAGTTGAGCGGCCTGATTTAAAGGGACTCCAAGACAGGCAGAAGGGGAAGTGGAACAGGGAACAGTCTTCACATGAGACTTGACTGATGAGAAAGGAGCCAAGATTCACTGCTTGAAAGGAGACCACAGCCTGGGAGGGGGCCTCCTTTTACTTCTCTTCCCTCACTGCTGTTGAACCCTGCCCGCCCTCCCTCCCCAACAGGGGGTGGTGGCCCCCCAGAATGCCCCAGGCTTTTCCTGCCTCGTTGACTTTGTTTTGAGAAAGTATTTTTTTAAGATAGTATCTACAGGCACCTCAGAGCACAAGCACAAGTCATTGTTTAACACAAAAAAAGTCTCTGATGGCAGAGAGGGTAGTGCTCTACCGGGTCTCCATGCCCTTGGGTGCTCAGCCTGTGCTAGCCCCAAGGGCCACAACCTGGGTGAGGACAGAAGGGCAGAAAGCGATCAACCCCAGCTCTGTCACTGGAAAGCCAGCCCAGCTCAGGCCACTCACCCTTTCAGAGTCCTCAGTTGTATGAGTGACATCTGTCCTGCCCTCCCCTAGGGGGACAGATGAAAGTGCTTTCCACAAATACCAGGGCATGGCGGGTACCCAAAAAGCTTTTGATGACTGATTGACTGCCTGAGTGATTGAAAATGCCGTGGTAGGACAATGCCTTTAATATACTTATCCCTGGAAGCTAAGGGATGATGGTGATAGTGGCAAAGCCAGTGCTGCAAACATCAAACTAGTGAAGTGCTGTGCTCTGACCAGTTTTCTTCTGCTGCCCTTCCAGTGGAGTCTCTAATTAAGGACTTGTAAGGGAGATAAAAAGTCATTATGTCTCACCTTGGAAGCCCTACATTACTTGAGGGTTTTAGTGCAAGGCCCTGGGGAATATGTGTCTGCTTTGGATTTGGTAAATCCACTAGATGTCCTAGACTTTTCTGCCCACGGTCACCAAGATGCAGATGTTCTGAGCCTGTCAGGGGTCCTCTTGGCAACACTGGTGGGCACACAGCATTTATCCCACATCTCAGAAGGAGCAGACCTGCCACTCCCTGGGGAAGGCGACACAGACACTTGATTAAAACGAGGGCAGGGCTCTTCCTGTAAGCGGCCTTAGGTGACCTGAGAAAATGGTTCGCTACTCACTGGACCCAGAAAACCCCACAAAATCATGCAAATCAAGAGGCTCGAATCTTCGCGTTCACTTTAAGAACACTCGAGAAACTGCCCAGGCCATCAAGGGTATGCATATCCGAAAAGCCACCAAATACCTGAAAGACGTCACGTTAAAGAAGCAGTGTGTGCCATTCCGTCGGTACAATGGCGGAGTTGGTAGATGTGCCCAGGCCAAGCAGTGGGGTTGGACCCAGGGTCGTTGGCCCAAAAAAAGTGCCGAGTTTCTGCTGCACATGCTTAAAAATGCAGAGAGTAATGCTGAGCTGAAGGGTTTGGATGTAGATTCTCTGGTCATTGAGCACATCCAGGTGAACAAGGCCCCCAAGATGCGCCGCCGGACCTACAGAGCCCACGGCCGGATCAACCCGTACATGAGCTCCCCGTGCCACATCGAGATGATCCTCACTGAGAAGGAACAGATAGTTCCTAAGCCAGAAGAGGAGGTGGCACAAAAGAAAAAGATATCCCAGAAGAAACTAAAGAAG